AAGGGAAGAATAAGAAGAAGCTATATGATAAAAGTGGATAATAATGATCTGTTTCATAAGATTACCACTAAATGAATGAAAAAGTATAAGATAGGAATCAAATCCCTAAACTCTAGAGCTGGTGTCAGAAGGCGCAGGCTAGAATTCGAACTCAGAAATTGTTGTAAGAGCTGGAGGATCTTTGGGATACTTTTTCAAAGCAGGAAATTCTTTCCAAAAGCAACCTAGAAACCTTGTAGGGTGGCTTCAACAAGCATGGGCCCTAAAAAAGGTGACTCAAATGAATACTTCAGAAAAATAAAATAAAATAAGAGAGATAATTGAATACAATGAAGCCCTGATTTGGCCGACTGCAGACGTAAGGAGGAGTTCGAGAAGCAATACAGTAGATATGAACTGTAGGTAAATCTTATTTGATTAGTCATTAGGTTGATTTTGGCATATGTTCAGATGATTTGATCTATCCCTCTTATTTGTCGTGATTTTATATAGTGTAAGAGAAAAAGGCCATGAAGGTTGTTCAGGAACCGAATATTTAGTTTCAAATCTTAAATCCTGGATTGAAACTAGAATCCCTAAGAGGTACTTACGATGGTAAATCATTTTGGCCCATACACTCACAGACATCGCAGACCTCAAAAGAAAAAAAAGCCATTTACAGTGTTAAGATATTCTGACTTGTTGATGGTATTGATGATTGTTTGCGTATAACTCATTTTAGTCCCTTTTTTGTATTCACCAAAACTGTTTTTCTATGAATAATAGAACTTCCCTTGAGAGAAAAATGATAGAATACAAAGTCACACGAAAACATATCCCACGAAAAAAGGAGCTCAAAATGAAATAAGACCTAAAGGATAATTACAAAAGACTTCGCTACTGAAGTGTAAGAGAAATGTGGAACATTACAAAGAACAAAACATAACTGAAGTCATCTCAAATCCTCTAAATGTTATATGGTTCCTCTCATGCCAAAGGCCTCACAAAACGATACCACCTAGCTCGCCACAGAAACCTCCCCTTCCCGGGAGGGGAGGGGTAGAGGAAACCCCATCCAAAAAGGACTGCAAAATAAGAGCCTTCCAAACACAAACAACATCACCATGAGGTGGAATGTTCTACACTATCACAAAATTAGAACATAAAGATCTTATCTTCAAAAGTCCTTTGCTTTTATCACCTTTCTGAAGAACTCTACACACAATCTCAAAAAACAAAAAATAAATCAAAACACCTTACCATTGCCTTCAAAATTCCAATTCACAAAAACTTCCAAAGGCCAGAACCATAGCCTAAGCTACTAGCCTCATTAGGTACTCGCTCCTACTGTAAACTGAAATAGTTATGATCCCAAAAACATGCGACCGCAAGAGAGAGAGAGAGAGAGAGAGGAATTCACCTCATTCCATAATGAGCTTCAATGAAATGTGATTCTAAAGTAGTACACATTTTGCAAGTGAACAGTCCTCGAGTGCTCGCTAGGATTGGATTCTCTAGTACCTTAGCAATTTATTATATATTAACTTAATAAACAGTGTAGAAACACCTCTCATTATGGCTTTTAGGTTGTTATGTGAGGTTTTTATTTTAATAAAGGTACCCTATTTCTTATCCAAGACAAAACACTTCGTATTCGACACTGATCAATCTCATCGGACAACAGGCCTCCTAGACCTACATTCTACAGCAGAAAAGCTCCATTAAATAAAAGAACCAAGCTTCTGCCCAAAACAGATTGGAATGAATTAACCGATCAATTTACCAAGTTTCTCTTTTGAAAGCAAGGGCAACGATCAAGGAAGAGAGAAAGGGTTACTTAACTTATAGTTAGAAATACTGAGAGAAGATTAGAGGCAAAAGTGTGGAGGCCAGCAACAATGATGGTGCGACAGCAGAAACCAACAGGAAATTGAGAGGATGATATTAGAATGGATTCAAAAGAGGATTTCATGGGAGGCAGAAAGCGTAGGAAGAGAGAAAGCAACAACGACAAAGGGGGGGCATGGAGGGGTCTGTCAATAGAAGTGGCTGAGAGGGTGAGATAAGCAAACATGAGGATTCTTTTTGGGATTCTTTTCATTCATAAAAGGCTAAGATAAAGATTTTTTATTAAAGTTTCTTTTTAATAATTTCAAATATTCAATTGAGAGTGATTTGAGAAAAATTATATCTTTCAAAAAATAAAATTCTTCATATTCTTATATGATTTATATTGCATAATTATATTATAATTGGTTTGGTTCAGTTTTCTTTGGTTAATATAATTTATTTTGAACCACTAACCAAACTGTCCTAAATGAAGTCAATTAGAACCCAACAATGACATTAACTAACTTAATTGAATCCGGATCAATTTGGTTCAGTTTCATGTGTCCTTGGTGTCATGTCAAGAGAGAACGAGTAATCATCTACAGATAAAGAAAACAACTAAAAGAACATGGTAAAAGATCACAAGAGGAAAGTCTAAAAGATAGTCAGAGACGGTATATTTGATTCACATTGTTCAAGTAAGTTTCAGCAAAAAAAACAAAAAAACAAAACTATTTAGCTACCTTACTAGCAGGCATCTCCACAATTGAACCAAAGCTAAAGAAAAAGGGGAAGAACTTGTTTATGTCCAGTCCAGATTGAGTGAGAGAAACTAACTTAACAAGACATACCCCAACACAAAATGAAATACCCTTGCATTACATTCTTCAAAATCACATGATATGAATGTTTCTATGAATTTACATAACTAGGTAACCCCCATACATGCCAAGTAAACTCTTAACATACGCCTTTCTAGTTTCTATTGACTTCGTGGGTTTCATGAACTTTAAAACAGAAATATAAAGATGATCAAGAATGCCCACTGTTTTATTGGTCTAATTCAGTTATTTTGAACTTGAAACCAATCAAAGTCTATTCGAGACCAAACATTGAGGTTTTTTTTTAATATTCTACATCAAACCGAAGTCTAGTTTCACTTTGATCTCTTTTAACTTCTTTTTATAATATTAACTAATTTGACATCAAATGAACACCAAAAACGCGATATCTTACACAAACTCTGATTTCTTAAAATTGTCATTGCTTTTTTATAATCTTGGTTGTACATAAGTTATTTACACCTAAAAAACCTCAAAAGGAGTATGACACTTCCACCGAGGAGTCCAGATGGAGATAAAGACTTCAGAGGGGAAAGAAAAAGGGAGAGAGATAGTGATGGCGTCCTCATCCCCTCTCCTTGCCCTAAAGTATTCCCCATACCAAGAAATCCCTGCTTTAGACGATTTCCCCCTTTACAGAAATCCATAAAAGAAAACTACAAAACAATAATCTGGGCTTTATTCCAAAATAAAAGCAGAAGCGTCTTCAAGTAATCAGAACCCTTAGGTCACACGGAAATTCTAGCATTCAAGCAATAACTCTAAATTCACATAGAAACCCACTTCAATCGCATCCAAAATACCAACACAAAAGCAAGAATAACCTCTCCAATTCAACGACAATGCGAAGCACAGGAGAAGAATTGGCTATACCACGAGAACTTACAACATAATTTTTCAATGTGGAACAACGGGAAACTATCAATACAAAGAAGCAGAACAGAAGTTACAGGAACCGAACCTTGAAGATACGACAGACCCGATAACCAACTCGATTCGTCCCTACAAAGTAGCGCAAATCCGTAACGCCAAAAGCTTTCGAGAGATAGAGAGAGAAGGAGGTTAGGCAGCGGAAGGACTCATTTGAAGGGAGATGGCGGCGAGCTCCAGGCGAGAATTCATGGAGATAAAGGCAGGAAGGAAGAGGCGGTCAAATATAAATTCCCTTTGTTTCGCCGCTCCGATTGGCGCAAGGATTATGGATAGAAATTATTTCCCTATTTAAAATAAATAAATAAATCTTAAATTTCTATTTACATAAATACCTCTAAAATTTCTCCAATATTATTTTTAAATTTTAAAATTTTAAAATTTAAAATACCTTCCAATATTCAAAATTTTCATTAATACCTTTCGTAACAGTTCGTGCCTAAGATTCAAAAACCGGATTCAGCACCTGATGCCCTCGATATTCCCCTGCAACATGGTCACAATATCTAACTTAGACTATCCCCACAGACCAACGCGAGTTTTTCCAGCATATTTGTTCTCACTCCCGTGCATTCTAGGAAAATTCTGATGATGTCACCCAATATAGAATTAGTCCATGTAAAACAAAGTTCTTATGATTAAGCCACTGAAAAATAAGATGCACCTTGTTCGTACAAGTAGTAACTTTCATTTTCTTTAAGCCGTTATTAGTTATCTTAACTTTTAAAATAAACTTGTGAAAATACATAAGTATTTTTAAACGTGGTACGGGTATTTCTTTTTAATTTTTTTTTAAAATTTTGAGAGTATTAATGAAACTTTTGAAAATAACTCATTGAAACTTTCATAGTTTTGTTTTTAGTTTCCTAAAAAGCCTTGTACCAATGAAAACAGTGTCCGTTCTTTAAGAGAAGATCATGGGCATACGAGTAAGGGACACTAAGCATGGGTCGTTACAATGGTATCAGAGAGTGATACCTCTCTCAATAAGATTTGGTTTGGGGACAAACCAATGCGGAAGGTAGTGGACATGTGAGTGAGGATAAAACATACTAGAAGGACTCGTGTTTATATGTGAGGATAGTCTTCACTCTTAAGCGAAGAGTAGATTCGGATTAGTTAGCTCGATTTCAATCTTTAATGCTCAACCCTAGTCGAGAGACCGAATCTTTAATGCTCAACCCTAATCGTCATCATTTATAATCAAAGAATATTTGTTGGAATATTTGTTGGTATAAGGTATTTTGAAGAAATCCAAAGCAATACTGCCAAAGCTAATGCTGAAAGTGGATAATATCGTATGATTCTTATAACCCAAATTAGAAGCTCGACGATCACAAAGCCATTGGTTTTAGAAGCCCAAAGGCGCCGGCGACTATCATCGCTTTAAGGGCACAGGAACCAACGCTCTGGTATGTTCATCATTCAATCATCTTGGTAATTTTTCCTCCATTTCTAAAATTCTACGCAATGGTGTGGCTTAAATTCACCAACGCGCTGTTTTTGATTGTTCGATTCGACGGTTTTGGGCCTTGATTTCCACAGAAGAACAGGGCTTTCAATTGGTGAGTTTCCTCCGTCATTTTATCTCCACTTTTTTTCTTATACATGGAATATTGTTTAATCGAGTTTCAAATAGTTTGATGTGTTGAGAACTTGAAAATCCAGTTTAGTTTGTCTGAATCTCTTTGGTACGAGGCCATTTGAAGAAATCGAAAGCAAAACTATGAAAGTACAGTAGTGATTCCTAGAACTTAACCTAATCTGTGCTGTAAACTGGAGTCTCATTTCTTCCTAAATTGGCTGGGAATGCTGTGCTAGTTGTTCTTCATGGGAGAAGTATTTAAGCCTTCTTCCATTGGATAGGAGAGAACTTTCTCTTTGAATAGAGGGTAGATGAAGCTCTGATTGTGCCTTGAAAAATATAGTTTAAACCATGGTTTCACTTGCACCATCCATACACATTGATGCTCAAGCTCTTTCTTGTCTGTCCATCAAGTGTTTAATCAAAATTAACTTATAAAATCTATGTACTCTTGATATGAAACAACTGAATTTCATTTATCTCTTGTGTTGATGCCATATATCAAATCACTGTTAAACAACTTTTGCGTTGTTAATGTGAGATCGTACATCGGTTGTGGAGGAGAACGAATCACTCTTTATAAGGGCGTGGAAAACTCTCCCTAACAAACACATTTTAAAACCTTGAGGGGAATTCCAAAAGGGAAAGCCCAAAAATGACAATATTGGCTGACTGGTGGGCTTGGACTGTTACAAATGCACATCGCCCCGTGTCTAGCTCTGATACCATTTGTAACGACATCTCCTCTTTTGCTTTAAGTTTGGTATTTCAAAACTATATCCTAACTATTGACATATCCGGCATGGCAGCTTCAGCAACAGCAGAAGTTTGTGATACAAATGCAGGACATAACAAGCGGAGATCTCCAAGTACTGCAAGCGTCATTCGACATTTACGGGCAGCAGCGAGCATTTTCGGGACGGATAGTGTGACGGTGAAGGTGTTTTCAGACAATGTTTTGGTGAGAGAGGTTCTTAAGGGTTGGTGGGGGTCTGATTCATGAAGGAGAATGGTTGTATTGGTGATGGTGATATGCCATTTTAGTGTCCAAATTTGAGCTGTCTGTATGAATAGATAGCCTGATTGAGTATCATACACAAACCCTCTCTATTGGCTCTCTATTGCTTCTTCTTTACGAGTTCTTGGCTCTCTGGTTGTTGACTTCCTTCCATCTGTACAGATTCAGTTATGTATTTGTGATTCTAAATAAAAGGGACTTTCGTCTCTGTTCGACCCGTCGGTCTAGTCAGTCCAGTGTTGAAGTTTTCCCATTTTAAAAAATGTCAAGTAGGTTCTTGAATTGTGTAATGTATTTAACCATTTTTTAAATTAAATCTAGGGCATAAAAAAATATTTCAATGATGTATTCCATAGATTATTAAATTTTTTTATTTTGGGTCTATAGATTCATAAATTTTTTTAGAAATATATATTATTATTATTATTATTATTTCAAAAAAAGAGGGAATAAATGGACATATATTTATTGAGGTTGCCATTTTTTAAAAGCTACAAATAAATTTATTGCATATATTATTCTTCAATTTTGTCAAAAAAAAAAAAAAAACTTCAACGTTTTAAACCTTTAAATTTCAATTAATAATTTGTTTTTTATTTTTTGTTTTAATCTTATCCAAATTAAAAAATTAAGAGAAATACAATTTTTTTATTATTATGTATTAATGTCATTACCTTATTAATTCAATTTCTAAATTTCAAAATATTACATTTTTATTCTTGAATTTTGAATTTAATTTTTATTTACTCCATAAATTGTTATGATTATACTTTTATTACTAAATAAGTAATTTGTTTTAATGGATTAATTCAAAATAATTGTGGTGTGGATTTTTTCGAAAAATAATGAAAGTTATTTAAAAATTAATTAATAAAAAATTAGCACAAACAAAATAGACATATAAACCAAATGAAAATTGAATTTGAAATTAAAAAATAAAAATATAATATTTTAAAATTTATAGACCAAATAAAAATAAAATTCTGAGACCAATAATGCAATTTTAAAATTTTTAATTTTATTATTTTGATGGAGAGATGGTTGGTGAATTAAATGGTGAGTTTTGAATTTGCATTATTTAATATTTTAAGTTATTTTAAAATAATGTTGGTTTTAAGAAACATTATTATTATTCAAAACTTTTATAGTCAATTATTTATCATTCATCCATGAATGAAACTCCCCATAAAAATAATATTCTATATTAATTTTTTTATTGGTTAAATGACCAATTTACCCTTACATACATGATAATCAAATATCCCGAAGAGAAAACAAATAAAGAATAACGTCTCTAGATCTCCTCTCTCTCTCTCTCTCTCGTATTTACAACAGTAATCAAATTTCAAACGAACTGAAAAAGTATCGCAATCACTTTCTCAATCCGAAGTTCATTGATTCATGGCAACAATCTAAGCCCAAAGGGTTTGCAATCGAGTTGATAGTAGCATGCTTTAAATATAAACGAACATAAGGCTTAGAATTGAAACAAGATGGCTACCTTTCGATCAAAATGGATACCAAGTTTAAAGATACCAACCAGAGAAAACAAGATGAACTAATAGAAATTTGAGTCTAAGTTGGACTTTTTCTTAAAGACGAGTGTTACAATAATTAACGGTTGGATTTGAAATAAATAGGAGTTATAATATGAAATCTATGTACAAAAATGTAACTGTCCATATTTAATGTATAATAACAAACTTTTGTAAATTTTAAAGTGCAACAACTTAGATTGAAAGTCAAATGGTTAGATTTTCAAAGCGTTACAATAATTAACCGTTCGATTTAGCATACTTTCGAGGCAAAAATAACAAGACCACGTCGGTTGAAGCTCTGATACCATGTTAGATAAACACGACTCTCCAAAATCGTATGATATTATCCACTTTGAACATAAACCCTCGTGACTTTGCTTTGGGTTTCTCCAAAAGGTCTCGTACCAATCAAGATAGGATTATTTTATTGTAATCCAATGACCATTCTTGGGACTTTCATCCAATAGTTATAATCCCCAAATTCTCCTGTCTCATTTACAACATGGTTACGTTACTTATTCCATGCTTCTTACGAATGAAAACTATCCCCATAGACCAACACGAGTAATTCTAATATGTTTTTTTTTTCCTCACTCACGTGCATCTCAAGAAAATTCCTAGAATATCACCCGACATAGAATTGCTCAAAGTATTTCTTACCGTGAGAGGTATTGCTCTAGACTCGTTTTGGGAGAGGTAACGCAAAACGAATAATTAATTTAAATTTATAGACGTATCGTTCTAGAATTGCTCAAAGTATTAATTAATTTAAATTCTAAGTTTAATGGAATTCTAAACTTTCCATTTTTAATCAGTAGTTAAATAAATAAATAAATAAAATAAAATAAAATAATCTATAATATATTACATTTTAAAAAAAAAAAAAATCATGTAATTGTAAAACGGTCGCAAAGTGGGAGTAGTTTTGGTAAGTGGTTGGTAATAATGTAACATAGGTGACTGCGCGTGGTTAACTATGTGCTGAACACCACGCGTAGGCTTCCCACGTGACGCGTTTACATGTGGCCGTTCATGCAAGTTTGGTGACAGTCCGTGACGTTAGCAACAAAGGACAGAGACTTGGGTCCGAATTTCCAATTCCTTTTTTGACCGGGTCCGACCGTCTTGCTTGCCGACCGGACACACAAACAAACAAACAAACACAATTTTTTTTTTTAAGGTTAAAAAATATATTTGATTTTTTAATTTTTGTCTAAAAAATACCGTGAAAAAATAAACAAAAAAAAATCTAAAATATATTCTTAAACTATTTTTTATAAATACCCTTAAAACTTAAAAAAAAAAAAAGAAAAAAAGAGTTTCAACAATAATTTTTTAAATTTCGAAAAGTTTCGTTAATATCTTTTTTTTAAAAAATTTAAAATTACGTTTATCGAACACATTTAAAAATATTCATAAACTTTTACAAGTAATAAAAAATTTAGAAATAATATATGAGAGGTTTTTAGACGGTTTTCTCATCCATAGTAGTAAAAAAAAAACTTAACTTTTCTTTACAAGATAAATGGTGTTAATAATGTTAATTTTAAAATTTATGACATGAATAGTAAAATGTATTTTTGAATTTTTAAAAAATTTGAAGGTCATTAATGAAATTTTATTAAAGTTTAAGATATTTTCAAAATATCGTTCAAATTAGAGGGTATTTTTAAAATAAAGTAGTACAATTTTTTGGTAATATTTTAATTTTTTTTTTTAAGTCTAAGAGAATAAAGTATAAAGTTTTAGGATAATTTATTAATTTAGTTATTTTTATTAAAAAAAGTTCATTTATTTTTTATTATTGTTACTTTGTAATGTGTGAATTTAATTTTTTTAAAATAAATTTTAAACTCAAAATTTTCACAAATATTTGTCATTTTTAATATATATATATATATATATGATTTAATGCTCAACTTTGTTATTTCAAACTTTTGATGGTGACATTGCTCTTTATGGAATAAAGTATTTTTAATTTCTTCCATTTTCATTCTTTCAATCATTGTAATATATATATATATATATATATATATATATATATATATATATCAACTTTATATTTTTATTTATATCTTAGTTAGTTTTTTTTTTTTTTAAATTTTGATTGGGTTGAATTTTTTAAAAATTAAAAACTCGAGGTCGATTCATAAGTTGACATTTTTAGTCCGGTTGAATAGGATTATAATTCAACTGTTGAATGATGGAAGTCCCACGTCGACTAATTTAGGGAATGATCATGAGTTTATAAGTGAGAAATGCTAACTCCATTGGTACGAGGCCTTTTGGGGAAACCCAAAGCAAAGCCACGAGAGCTTATGCTCAAAGTGGATAATATCATACCATTGTGGAGAGTCGTGTTCGTCTAACATCAATGAGGTATTAATTATTTATATAACAAAACAAGATTTAAGAAAATAGTTTATTTAGTCTCGAACGTCACTTTTCATTATAGTACTTTAATTAATGAAAAGTCTCTTCTTTTTCTCCCTTTGTTTCAAATTGAGATAAGGTCGAAAGGTGGTGGAAGATAACGTTACGAAAATAACTATACTTAGAAAAATGTCACGTGAAATATTATATCTGAACAAAATATTAAAAATACATAGTAAGTGATTTCGTAAGTCGGAAAATACTACCATATGCAATGTCTATCATGTCAAAGTGGGACTTAAAATCGATGTCCTGGCTTTGTGTTATATTTTCATTTTCAGGTAAAATTGAACGCACGGTATTTCTCTACACAACGTACACGTAGACCCACTACTCAAATATCGTTCTCGTAAACCTAGATTTGACTATGAGCTTGCGCACGCTTAACCGGTTGAAACTAGAAGTTTCGAATGAATTCAGGTCGGAGATATTAAAAATATAATAATTTAAAAATTATATATAATAATTAGGAAATGGACTCGAAGTTTTGGATAATTTTAATTTTGACTAAAAGAGATGTTAATTATGTTGGTGGTTGAATATCTATTTTTTACCCAACAAACCTCCCTCTTAGGGGAATATTTATTTATCCCTTTTAAAATAATGAATTAAATTAAATTAAATTAAATGGTCTTTCAATTATTGTAATATAAATTAAATACTTTTTCATTATTTTTTTTTACATTTAATTACCTCACTCTATTTTATTCTTTAAATTTCAAATTAAATTTGTAGCTAAACCTAAATTTTTATAATAACTTTTAAATTATTTCATATTTACAAAATAATTAAAAAAAAAAAAAAAAAACTTTCACCCCAATTTACACAACTCGAACAAAGGAGATATGTTTTTTTAAAGCTCTTATACCCAATTTTCGATATATGATGACTAAAAATTTATATTCTCGATAATGATTATGGGTGTTCAAAAAATTTGATGACGTAAGAAACTCGATCAACTCAACCTAATATGTATGATTTGGGTCGGGTTATGAATTTATTTCAGTTGAGTTGGGTTCAAATAAATGAAAATTTTATGAGTTGAGTTGGTTTTGGGATTTCTTGAGCGGAACAAACTAAATTTATTGTAATTATACACATATATTTATTTTATTTACATTTAATTTCATAATTACTTTTAATTATTTATTCTCCCCAACCTTAAAAAAATAATTTTTTTTAAAAAGAAGATAATTATGTAAAATATATATTTAAATTGGATTGAACTAATATTTTACTTTTCATTAAAAATAAAAAAAAATTGAATAAAATGACTCGAACCATATGAACCAACTCAACTCAATTACAATCCGAACAACTTTAATATCTAACCATATCGATCTCGACCCAGACCCACCCTCGTGCGAATCCTAAAAAAAGGGCAATTAGAGGAAAAATAAGAAATAAAATTTAAAATTTAAAGAAAAAAAAAATATTTAAAATCTATAGGTTATATGTGTTAGGCCATTGACCTAAGACATCTATATTACATTATATTTGTATTATTGACATTCTTGTTTAATTAAAAATAATATTATTGCTGATTTTAAGGCACCAAATCAATTCCATTATTGTATATTTTATAAAATAATTAATTTTTTTTCTCTCATTTTATTTTGACGAAAAATTTAAGAAAAAAACACCCACAAAAAAAAATATTAATTGAGAGAAAATAATACAAAAACAAGTATTGGAAATAAATATATATTTTTAAAAAAATATATTTTAAAAATGGGCCCTTCAAAAAAGGATAAATTTTTTAAAAAATGGAATAATTTAGTTAATTTTTTTTTTTAAAAAAAAGACAGACAATAATACAAAAAGAAGTTTTTGGAAATAAATAATATTTTTAAAAAAATATCTAAAATTTCTTTCCACTTTTTTTTTTTTTTTTTTCTTTCTTGAAATTCAAAGATTCCGTTCCATTTCCTGTCGTCCAAACATAATCCCTTCTCTTCGCCTTTTTCTCTTCAAAGGGGTCCGACCATTTTTTTTAATCTTCGTTTCTGGGTTTTTGCAGCTCTGTAATTTTGTCTCCAAATACAAACACTCCACTCATGTTCATTGTTCTTCATCAATTGGGTTTTGACCACAATCACAAAACGCCAATTTGAGACAGACAAAAGAAAAAGGGAAGAACAGCCGCAGGGATTGTTGATTGTTTTTTGTTTTTGTTCAATGATCCCTAAACCTTGTTTCATCTTCTGGGATTTTGCCCTCTTTTGATTTTCCATGTCGGAACCCATTTCTTGTTCTTCTCTGTTTTGATTTCCGTTTCCGACCGCCAAATCACTCAGGTAATCCATGTCCGAATCTGTTGTTTGGTTTTCTTAATTCTGTTCTGTTTTGTGATGGCTTCGATGTTTTATGCTTAGATCTTCGCGGGATCTTCGGATCTGATACCATTTTGAATGTTTTACGACATGTTTGACATGTCTGTTTCTATTGATTTTCATGTTCTTGGTGGTTTCTGGGGTTTGATTCTTGAACTATGATAGCAATAACAAGAACAGATAGACATGTTGATGTTCTGTTCAACATTTTAGCTAGCTGTGTTGTTTGGTAGCTATGATTGATAATGAAAATCCTAATTTCATTGTGAAGGACATTAGATTACCAGCTGAACTTCATGATTTTGCGTTGTTTCTTAGGATTCGTCGAGATTTTCGAGGTCGGGATCGATCGAGTAGTAATGGGGAGGACTGATGATAATGTTGCTCTTATTGGGGATTGGGTGCCTCCAAGTCCCAGCCCAAGAACCTTCTTCTCAGCAATGCAAATGCTAGAGGAGGATGTTGTTGGTTCTAGACCTACAATGGACACTACCAGCACTGATAAACCCGAAAAGATCTTTCTCGGGTCTCGAGAACACACGGTGTCTGAAAACGCCATTGCAAGAGGCGGGATCCCGGGTGTCAACTCTGGCGATCGGTCGATGGAGTTCGGTACGGTATCAGAGCAGAAATTCCGTGGTGGACTTGTGGAAAGGATTGCAGCAAGAGCTGGATTTAATGCTCCAAGATTGAATACAGAGAACATTAGATCAACAGAGGAAGTGAAGTCTCCTTACTTGACAATACCGCCTGGTTTGAGTCCAACTACATTGCTTGATTCTCCAGTTTTTCTTTCAAATTCATTGGTAAGTTAAACACTTAATTTATGAAGTTTATATCTAATCTTCATGTGAAATTTGTTTATATTTGTTGTTCTTCATCTGTCTTGTTGCAGGCTCAGCAATCTCCCACAACTGGGAAGTTCCCGTTTGTAGCGAACGTTAGTTATCGAAGCTCGACGATGATGTTGGAGGCGAACAATCGAGGCAACGACAATCCGTTTGATGATAACAGTTCATCGTTTGCTTTCAGACCGAGGTTGGAATCAGGATCATCATTTTTTCATGGTGCAGCAAGCAAAGTAATTTCACTTCCACAATCTTGTCCAAGAAGCGTAGACCCGGGTCTACGCTCAGAAAATTCTTATCAACCCGAAAATAGAATCAATCATCATCCTCAAATGGGGCTCTCTACGTCGTGCACGGAGAGGGACGATGTGGGTAAGAACGTGTTGGATGATCAAAGACCCTATGATTCTCTGTGTGGTGGTGGTGGTGGTGAACATTCGTCACCGCTCGATGAGCAACCGGATGAAGGGGAGCAACGAGGCACTGTGGATTCGATGGCCAGTGGTGGTTGCGGTGCGCCCTCGGAGGATGGATATAACTGGAGAAAATATGGACAAAAACAGGTTAAAGGAAGCGAGTATCCTCGGAGTTATTACAAGTGCACACATCCGAACTGTCAGGTCAAGAAGAAGGTCGAGCGATCTCATGAAGGCCATATAACAGAGATCATCTACAAGGGAACACATAACCACGTAAAACCCTCACCGAATCGACGAGCATCAGATTCCCATATCAATATGCAACTAGACATCCCTGTACAAGCAGGCCAACAGAATGCTGAAGTTCCCCTGTGGGAAGATTCACAAAAAGGGACTCCTGATTGGATGCATAGCAACCTTGAGGTGAGTTCTTCAGCATCCTTGGGTCCTGAATATGGCAATCATATTGAAACAGTTGAGGCCATTGATGCCTCATCCACATTCTCTAATGATGAAGATGAAGATGATAGAGGAACACATGGAAGTATAACAATGGGATATGAGGGGGAAGGAGATGAATCCGAGTCGAAGAAGAGGTATAGCCATCTTATTTTATGAATCATATGAAAAGAACCATGAAATTTAACTTGGGTTTGCTTTGATATCTATCAGGAAACTCGACGCCTATGTAACGGAAATGAGTGGGGCTACTAGAGCTATCCGTGAGCCTAGAGTTGTTGTTCAGACTACTAGTGAAGTAGATATTCTCGACGATGGCTATCGTTGGCGTAAATACGGACAGAAGGTGGTGAAGGGAAATCCGAATCCTAGGTACATCAAATTCCATGTTTGTGTGTGCTCTCGTCCTGTCACTAAGTTTATCTTTGACAAAGTTGCTTGTGTACAGGAGTTACTACAAGTGCACGAATCCTGGCTGCACGGTGAGGAAGCATGTCGAGCGAGCGTCGCATGACCTGAAGTCAGTGATAACCACATATGAAGGAAAGCACAATCACGATGTTCCTGCTGCTCGAAACAGCAGCCACATCGGTTCATGCACATCCAGTCCAGTAACGGGTCAAACCTCGACCGCTACTCATCATGCTCACAGGCCAGGGCCACCGCAGCCTCAAAACAACATGCCAAGATTCGAAAGGCCAGCCTTCGGCCTTGCTGGAAGACAACCGATGGGCACTGCCCATGCCCATGGCTTTGGTTTTGGTATGAACCAACCTGGACTGAGAAATCTAAACCTGACCATGACCATGGCATCAGCTGGTCAAGCCAAGCTTCCTGTTCTACCAATGCATCCATACTTAGCACAAGCACACAATGTTCATGAAATGGGTTTGTTGTTGCCTAAAGGTGAGCCCAATCTAGAATCTACATCTGATCTTGGCTTGAACTTTTCCAATGGTTCAACGGTGTATCAGCAAATTATGAGTAGGCTTCCACTTGGGCCTGAGATGTGAGTTCTTATTTTACCTTTTGTTCCCAATCTTTGTTCTCTAGGAAACTAAAAGCTCTTACTGGTACACGTAGTTATCATAATATGAATACACATATATGACGATCGATGAGTCGATGAGCAACATAATTCTTGTGGAAACAGTTGGTTTATGTCAATATCGAACAAAAGTTTCAGAACTTTGTTATAACTTTTTTACTTTTCGACCGATGAGGCATCCCTTTCGATACTCAGAAAACAATACAAGCAAACAAATCATGAGAAAAGGGAATGAGCTAATTCATTGAAATGGATCCACTATAACTTACATATCAGGAGAACACGAAAAATGAAACAGCTACATTGAAACCTAACCGAACAGGTATGACGACTCGTATATACCCTAATAAACCAAATGGATTCCTCAGACTATGAAGGTTCATCTCTGCTTCTAAATTAATCTGTGTATTATGATACAGTTTGCTAAATTACTTGGAAAAATATTACATAACAAATCTACTCACCATATAGTTTATATCTCTTCTCTTAAGACCAAATCAGATCATTGTAGTTCAACATTTGAGCTCTGAATATGTTGCACAGCTTCTTAATGACCATCTGCAACACTCTCCTGGACAACCTTCTCAGTTTCCCTTTGATTCAAGACCTCTCTGCACATAAACAAAAACGCCTCTTACAAGAAAAATCCAGATGCATAAACGATAAATCTCGAGAAACAACTTAAGTCCAAGTACCCATTACTGTCCGGGTGAACGATAATTTATAAATAGAAAACAAAATTTAAGATTCATTAACAACCTGAGACAGCTAAAGATTGAATCATAGTGGAGAACAGCTACGATTCTTTTCTTCCTTTCTTTACCACGCTTAACAACAGGCAACTGCTTTATACCCTTAGCCTCCATTAGTTCCTTGGCAGTTGTGAGATCAGTGTCAGGGTGGCATGTTAAAATTCCTCGTTCTCGCCCACGGTACCTAATCCCTCGAGTGTAAATAGAGGACACAAGGCCGGTATCCACCTGCAAAGAATTTGGGGTTTCTTTGTTATTTGTATTGAAGAGTACAAATGAAACAAAAAGAAGAAATTATATTGAGAATCAACAAAAGATCATCAGTCAATGTACAGATCATAAAACAATGCATGGATACGCAAATGATTTATATTTGATAGGGAGTTTTTTCTGGAGACAAGTACTGACAAAATGACCAAATAAAAGTGAACAAACAATGCACGGATAATGGATACATACACTGAGGGAATCACCCTTCAAAGCATCACCATATTTCTTGAAGAAATATCGTTTAATGTCACCATATGTCAAGATCCCTTCGAGGAAATCATCATCGTCAACCACTAATGCACAGTTCTGCTGGTTATCTTTCATATATTTTAATGCATCTTTCAAATATATGGAAAATGAAACCTTCAGATAGTTCTTCGACATCGCTTGAGAAACCTGAAAGGCAGGAGTGTCAAGAATAAAAGTTAGGATAAATAGCAAGTTGCTAAGGGATAGATGCAGGTAAGGGGAGAGAAGAAATAAGTACCTTTAGGTCTTCGAGAAGATTATCATCATAAGTAGATTCATGGTCAGATGGATTTGCTATCTCAGAGAGCTCCAAGCCATTGTCAATATTATCATATCTCCAAGACGCCCCATCTTTACGTTCAGAAGGTGAAAGAGGCGTATAATCTCTAGCGAAACCCCGCTTATTGGATGATTCAATTTCCTTGGTCTGTTTTGTAACAGAAGGAACCCATATGGCCAAGCCTACGGCCCCCTACTCATATGACAGAAGTAAGGAAAATAAGAACCAGTCCCTGAGAAGTATATGCTTCACAATGTCTAGCGATCGGAATAATGAATCAATATGATCGAACCATGTTGGAAGAATGAGATATCAAAGAGTTTTAAAATTGCAACTGGTATGCTCTCTAAGTTTGAATTGTGTAGTAACGACTGCTCCTGTTAATGCGTAAAAACTACAACTCACACTAAGATTTAACTATATGGAAGCCTTTAAGATAACAACTCCGAAAGATATTGACATGACATCCATTACGGAAGATGAATTTAATACCAACTACACGCAATATCCATATTATTAGATCCTTGATTACCATAAATTTTGTTCTCAAAAGCATTATGAGCAAATTACTTGAAGGATCTCCTTTAAAAAAAATGCATCTGTAGAAGAGTGTACTAAAGATATCACGGAATACTTGCCATGAGAGGAAGGAGTATCCTATAATCCTTTGTCAGCTCAAATAGAAGTAGAACGGATGTCAAGGGCACGGAACAGACAGAGGCCAGCGTAGCAGCCATTCCAACCTGTATAATGGCATCAAATTATAAGGAATAGAACAAAGTTATATAGGAAGAAACCAGCTAAAGAAAATTACGAAAAGGAAACTGCGAAAAAGAAAATTACGAGTGCATATGCTTGTGGCTGTGCAACAGCTGCATTTCCAGGAATTGCAATATTAATAAGTTCAACAGCTGAGCCCCCAAATACAGCACCGACAGCCGCACCAATCATTAGACTTGGTGCATAAAGGCCACCTACGAGCCCGGAACCTTTGCACAGAGAAGTAGCTACGACTTTTGCAGCTGCTATCTGAGTTAATAACCAAATCCCAGGAGCTGAAGGACGGTTGCCAGTATGAAGAATTTCTTCAACGTTTGTAAAACCCCAATAAAGTATTCCTGGGTACTTGAGAGCTATTATTCCAGCTCCCAAACCGCCTAAAGCAGGACAGACAACAGGAGGAAGACCAAACCTTTCCTTGATGAACTCAAATGATTTATCGAACCAAGCAACTAAACGTGTAACTGCTACACTCACAACGCCACATAGCATTCCCAATATCAAATACAATGGAAGTTCTACAATGAAACACGAGGTAATCAATAATGAATCAAAATTAATAGGCTTATATGGTATTAATCAATTTATACACTTGTGCCATGGCAATTCTACTACGAAACAATGGGTATTTGAGTGGTTTTTATTTTTATGTTCGTGGGTTTCACACAAATAGAATAATGTGGGCAGATCAGGTTACATGTTGGTCCATTTTGGTATTTGTGTGGGCATATCCACATGTTCAAGCAACATTCGAAGTGACATGACCATATGTCTAAAACTATCAACAAAATAATAATTTAAAATTAACGTATTTATCACTAATTTTCTTAATAGTTTCCTTATGGAGCCTAATTAATTAAAACTAATGCATTCAAGGTAAAAACCCAAGTTATAAAAGATTAAGGACAAGAAATGTTGTTTCTTGTTTAAAGATAAAAGGTTAGGGCAAACCTGAAAATTACTTACATAGACGACTATTGTATCTATTGAACTTTTTTTATAGCGCCAAAATTTTAATTCCGGACAGAGGAGGAGGAAAGGAAAAGAAAATAAGAGGAAAGCCAACAAGAGATGAGAAAACAGTGGTGGCATACGACAGCGGATGTAGTTTTGGTCCTCTTTAAACTTAAAAATTTACGTGCATACGACAGCAGAAGGAGAAAGTAATATTATTCTCAGAGGTAATGATGAAGAAGGTTTACTAGATCTTAAGAACAAGCTTGCAAGTGAGTTTGGGAGCCTTAAAGTACTTAATAGGTACACTGTCTCAAGATTTTAAAAAGGTATCTTTGTTAAGCTAAGGAAATATGTTATCGACTTACTTCAAGAGAAAAGTTTACTTGGATGTTGAACCGTAGAAATTCCTATCAAACCAACTTAAAATTACAAGCTACAAAAGCTGAACAAGTAAGAGGAAAAAGATGGATACCAAAGATTTGTCGATGTACTAGACAAAGTTATTTATCTCACATATGCTTAGACATTGCATTTGAAACGAGTATGGTGAGTTATTTATACACTTATCTATACCCACTCATTTTGAAGCTGTGTATAGAATCTTGAAATACAAGAACGGAATTCTAGGTAGAAGTATATTATTTTATGAGCATGACCATCTTCCAGAAGTTTATACTCGTGTAGATTGGGCAGGAAGTACTAATAATAGATGATCTACTTCTAGTTGTTCTTTTGTTGGAGGAAATTAAGTTACACGACACAGAAAAAAAACAAAATGCATCTGACTTCCTTGCACTTGTTTTCCTAAGCCATCGACTCAAAGCCGAGAAGAGGACTCTACGGCTTTACATCAGCCAAGCATTCTTTGGGAACCTTTGGTGCGAAAGGAACAATCGGGTGTTCAACAAACTACCCCCACCTATTGATAGCATTATTGAGCTAGTTCTTTTTATAGCTTTTCTTGGGGTAAATGCTTACATCCTTCCAAATTCACAGCTTTACTTATCCTGTTGGTTGGTGAAGTCTTTTGTAATCCACCTTCCATAATAGGAAGGCGTTTCCTTCCCTTGGTACATTTCCTTTTACAAAGAACATATGGTGAACTTTGAGGCTTGTGTCTATTCGGTTTCATTTTTTTAAAACTTACTGATCTACTAGAACAAATTATGGATCTATTAATCTTGATTGTGGTTATTTTTAAGAAACCCGTGACATTTAAGTCTTTTTTTCCCTTCCTTTATTTCGTACCTCTTTTGTTACTCAAGATTAATGAAACTTGTTATGTTCCTCATGAAATTTAAAAGTAAAAAGGATGGAATAGAATACGACATGCCTATACTATCATGCAACAACAAATTCCTATTAAACAGACGTCGGATAATTGAAATAACCAAACAAAAGGAGAGGGTGACATAATACCAGCAGCAGATTTCAAATCATAAGTAGGTACTGTGAAAGCAGACTGTGCACCAAGTAAAACATTCGAGACTGTAGAAGAAATAACAGATGCCAATATGATCATCGCAGTCGTAAAAGGAGGCGAATTTTCTGCACGTAGAGGCCTTAATACAGTTTCGATTGCAAAGAAGCTACCAGCAACAGCTGCATTGAAGCCTAAAAGAGAAGGATATAAAACAAATTAGCCACAGAACAAGTAGACGCCTCAACGAAGAGGAAAGATCAGCAAAACTTCAGGGGCGGGTGCAGGGGCGGGGGGATTATACATATAGTATTGTACGAGTTATAGCATATACAAAGATTAGTCGAATACCGGAAGCAATTCCAGCTGCTGCACCAGCTGC